GTACGCCCTTCTCAATTTTGAACTATGCAGTGTTCCCTTGCTCTGTTCTGACGACTGCCTCCTGGTCCAAGTATAAGTTTCGCATTAGAATGATCAAGTGTTCTGGGATTCCCATTCTTCTCAGCGTCAGCCATAGCTTGTTATGATCTACACAGTCAAATGCCTTTGCAGAGTCAATGAAACACAGACATTCCTCTGGTATTCCCTGCTTTCAGCCAAGATCCATCTAACATCAGCTACAATATCCCTAGTACCATGGCCCCTTCTAAACCCAGCCTGGACTTCCTACTTCAAATTACAATTGGACCATTTGGCGGAGAGGAAGGGGGCTGATAGTGGCGCTAGAGACAGAAGTGTGGTTCTGGCCCGGCCATAGTCCCCGGTAGGGCACTAAGTCCGGATTTCAGAAAAGCTTTGAAAGGGAGAGCCGATTTGCCCCTAGAGAGGGCCACCCATACCTTGGTAAGAGCCAAGTGCCCCCTGGGGAGATTCGTCAGGCCCCTGGGGAGAGTCACCTGACAGAGGAGAATTACCAGGCCCCTGGGGTGAATCCCTAGGCCCCTGGGGAGAATCACTAGACCCTGGGGAGAGAAACCCGACCCCCCAGTGAGAACCACCTGGTGAGGACCGCCACCTAGCCCCTGGGGTGTATGAGGAAATTTAACTAAGCCAATTTCCTCCATCTCCTCCTCTAGTACACCTATAAGTAACATCTCCAAAGCCCTTTTCTTTGTAATTCACAAGTTTGTTTTCTCTAGGTTTGCTCCCTTTCCTATAAAGGTAACCTAAACACTGAGTCTTGTTCCAGAACCTGAACCCTGAGCCCAGTTCCAGAGATGAAAGGGAAATATAACTGCCAGCTAAGGAGGTGAAGGGGATGGAGTCTCAAAGTACAGCCAACTACTCCCACTGGTCTCACCTACACAAACACCTTGCAGTCCAGAGGACAGAAAACATCATGAAAATATATTCTAACTGAACAAGAAGGCGTGCAGTGCAGCATCAAATCAAGACCACCACTAATGCGTTAAAGTGGGCTCTTCTTCCTCTTTATCTCAATGCCTGTTCAGCATGAAGCAGCCAGAGTCTGTGCCTCTATTCCCAAATGGGAAACCCACAAATAAAAAAAGACAATCTCTTTGTTAAAACAAACAAACAAAACAAAAAAATCCCCCAAACTTGTAAAACACTACAGAATGTGGATGAGTCTGGAAATCCTTAAGCCCACTACGGTAATTAGAAGATTGAACTGAGGATGGGGAGGAAAAGAGGGGAGAGAACAGATAGTTAAAGAACACTCACAGGAATGAATGAAATGAAAGGCAATCTGAAAGGAATGGATTATTAGAAACTATAAATTTGTCAATTAATAGCCTGGAACAGGACACGCATTACAAAGGGAATTGGGGGTGCAGGAGGGAGGAAATAGTGCACAAATAAATACATGAAACCAATCTCTTCGTGAAACTCCATTAAAATAAAAAAAGAAAATATGAGGAGAGGGGAAGATAAGGCTTATTTAAATATCATATAAAGAAACAAGATAAATATTGTTCAAATATAAAAACACAAGGTTAATTATCAGAACTTGATAAAGAATAAAATATGTCATAGTGAGTTTTAATTACTTTTTATAAAGTGGTCTTCATTGCTTCCATTGTCCCCTTTCCACAGAATCATTTCTACATCCCGCAAACACTCAAGTGTTCTTGTGCATCTCTGGGCCAAACCCCACTGTCATGTCCGTGGCCAATTTCCAGAAAAAATCAGGTCCCAGGCATTACCTCCCCAGTGTGGATGTAAGGTAAATTTCCACCAGCCCCAGTACATTAGGAATATTGGTTGGTAAACGCTTACTCTGTGCCAGGCACTATGCTAAATGCATTACATTTAGTATCTCTCTGAGTTTCACAATAACTATGTGAGATTAATCATTATTATTCATTCTAATTGTGCAAAGCTTACTCTGAGTCATATTCAACTTGACAACACTTAACCACCACTAAATGAGACTAGTGCTGTTCTATCTGGAGGAACATTCTTCCACTTTATACATCACTCTTCGTCAATGTGTAACCTGGGTTTGCTGTGATGCTGAAACCTTGTGCCATGGGGATATCAAACCAGAATGATTTCCCATTGTGGAAAGTGTTTAGTGGAGTTCCCAGTTGTAAAACAGTTTGGGAAGCAGGAGTGGGATCCACTTCCTAAACCACACGTCTCTGGACACTCTATGAACGTGGAAAAATGACAACAGTTATGGAAAGGCATTAGATCTTTTGTTCATAGAGTCACTATGTGTCAACCTCGGCTCGACGGCAATCAACAACAACAATCTACAAATAACAAAATAGAATTGCAGAGAAGCAAAGAGACTTGCCCAAGAGACAGTTAACAGTGAACTGGGATAATAACCCAGAAAATCTCTCTCTCACCCATGGCACTATTATTCTGTATTAACTGACTGCCTTAAAGAACGTTCTGACACATAGCAACCTTCTGTTGGTTTTGAGGCTTCAAACTGCAAAGGGAAGAGACTGTCTATCTTTTCTTGTGGAGATCCTGGTGGATTTGGTCAGCTGGAGAAGCATAGCCTTTGGATTTGCAGTACAACACATTTCAAACTACACACTTTTAGAGCTCTCTTATTCTGGATACAATGCCCCAAAGCCTCAAAGTCATTGCTACCAACTTGGAATCAATTCCTAATGACCCTCCAGCAGGAGTTAGAGGCTATAAATCACAACAGGAGGAGACTGGCCATCTAAATCGCTGGGAGATGCTGGTGGATTTGAAGCATCGATGAGGCATTGCCTTATGGGAGAAGCACTACTCCCTGCTGACTACACCACCAGAGCTCTGTTGTTCTGCATTGCTGTTATGTGCCGTCGAGTCAGAAATTACTGGAGCTGTGTCTCCAGTGAGTCTTCAGAGGCTATAAATCACACAGGGAGAGATTCCCACACTTCCATCTGCAAAGAGCTGATGGATTCAAACCGCTTGCCTTTGGTCTGGCAGCACAATCACTTACCCACTAGGACACGAGAGGCCCCTCTTTATTCTGTATTAATGAGTATCAAACATTGAGTATTTGAATCACATTAAAAATGGAATTAAAAACCAAAAAGTCCTCACCATGCCCTGCTTTAAGGGAGCTCTGGTGGCTCAGTGGTAAGGAGTTGGGCTGTCAACCCAAAGGTACATCATTCAAATCCACTGGCTATTACACAGGAGAAAGATGGATCTCCTAAGGTGTGAGTAACTCTCTGATAACCCACTAGAGGGTTAGCTATGAATCAGTTCCAACTTGACAGTACTTAAACAACAACAACATTCTATAGTTGCAGAAGAAAGATACGGATCTGCTTCTATAAAGATTTGCAGTCTTGGAAACCGTATGAGACAGTCATACTCTGTCTATAGGGTTACTAAGTGCTGGAGTTTGACTCCTTGGCAATGAGTGGGGCAAGCTGCAATTCTACAGCCCTTGAATGCTTACATTTAAGCCTTTTTAAAAAATTATGAGATGAAAGTATTTACAAGTGGAGTTTCAAACAACAGTGAGGCGGTTTGGAAACATGAAAGGCAAAGTCTCTGAATGACCTCTCTGAAACCAATACAGTCATTTTCATTCAGGGTTTTGGGGTTGTTTGGTTTGTGGTATTTTTTTTAACTTTCACTATTATTATGAGTCGCCTGTGACTCGACGACACGTAACAACAATAACATTATAATGGTTAATCTTCTTTGAGTGGAAACTCTATTCATACATATCAAAAAGCCTCAAATGAATAGGCTCATCCTTGCAAAAATCACCAGACACCTTCAAAGGCTCTTCTTAACATCAAGGGAATTTCCAACTCAGAAGGCAGAACAAAGTCACTTACATGTTTTCATGAACTGATTTCATTGCTTTGGCTGCAAAGCCCATGTTCTTCAACACCTCGGTGTTGGTGTGTGAGTTTTCCAAGGCTTCTCTCTGGAACTCAATAGTGGAAAGTGTGCCATCGATCTGAGTGAGCTGCTTCTCAAACCTCTTCTTTCTTTTTAGTGCCTGTAATGCAGCTAAATAAAGAAGACACATTTTTAAGGAGGGTGCCCAAGTCAGTTCTTTAAAAGAAACCAGCTCAGTACCAACTGTGAATTCAACACGGTAGATACCTAAACACAAAGACTACACAAGTCAACAGGAGGAGTTTGAGAAAAATACCTATTTTTCCAGTTACCTGTATGAACTTCCATTCCTTCAAATATTGTTATTCTTTCCTTCCAAATATATGGCAGGTGTGAGAGGTCAGAAACTCAATTTTCATAGCATAGAATTTTCATTGTATAGAAATGTTTTTGCCAGTATTGGATTTTGGAAAAAGGAGAGCTGAAAATATGATTAAATAATCAAATAGTAGAAATATTAAACTTTAGAGGAAGGAAAGCCTTAATGATTGTTGATTCTATTACAGTTTATTTCAAAGATGAATGGAAACTCTAAGAAACTAAATGACTTGCATGAAGATAGACAGATAGTGACCACTGCCAAGTTGACTAATTTGGTCTGAAACAATTAGGAGATGGTCGTTAAGGGTTTATCCAGCCGTAAGTGTCCATGAAATCAACACTGCTGGGGTCACACTGAAGGATCAGATGACACACAGTTGCCATAGATGACATACATACAGGAAGACTTTCAGGAAAATGATATCTCATTAGTAACTTAACAAGATAACCTTACCTACTTCACTCCAAAACCACAAATTGAATCAAGGAAGACACCTCCTTCCCATCCCTCTATCCACAAAAAGTCCTAAAGTATGCATCTTAATAGGTTATTTAGGGAAGAAAGCAGCAAAGAAGTGCTTATATAAAGACACATGAACAAGAAACGGAATAGGCAAATGAACTCGGATCGTTGTGTTGTTTCAGAGTGAACCATAAAAGTTATCATAATGAAGTTTCCTGAGACAGTTCTCTCTTCTCATACTGTTCTGAGCAACCGGGTGGCTCCTTGGAGAGGCAAGGATTCTGAGGCTCTGTCTAACATACTTTGGACATGTTGTGAGGAGAGACC